ATCAAATGGTTATTGATAGTTTGAAATCTCGTTTCAGCAGGAAGGATCTTCAGAAGTGTATTTTAGTAAATTAATGAATTAACTGTCTTGAATAAATTTACTTCCATCAATATTTCAATAATCACAAACTAATTTATTAACAACACTAACGCTCAATTCATTTCCACTATTTGAATTTCTTGTTTAGCCGCTCGATTCACTTTATGAACTGCCCTCTTGGGTCGGGAAGACGGGCTTATATCGGTAAAGGTCATTTCGAGAATTTTACCGGCGGTTGCATTCTTTCGCGGTGAGTTCATGTGTTTGTTCGATGAGTCGGCTGGCGTATCGGTCAGGGTCGGCTTCAGATTCGTTACAATAGGTACGAGAACTTCTAAAACTTGTTTTGAATAATGCAATGTTAATGAAAAAACTAGGTCTCACTAATCTATATCATAAAATCGAGACAGGAAGACTGAAAAAATTGTCTCCGGTTTGGATTCCTAGCCATACTGACCTGAATGACAATAAGGCTGCCGACTCCTCTGCAAAAGAGGGCGCTGCAAGCAGCTTTATTGGATCAAAACCTACCTGTCATTGGGATCGCTTCAAGCTTTGCCAAACAAACATCGAATACCTGGATGGTAAGAAGATGTATCGACTTCTGGCAAACTCTTCCAGTATTAGCTCACTCTAAGGCGTTCATCATTCACCCTTCGAAGCTTGAATCCAAACAGTGATTGGACTACAGTAGAGATGTAACATGCCTTCTCAGAGGTCACTGTCGTCTGAATCATCATATGAAGAGACTTGGACTGTCGGAAGACAGTGTGTATCGCCTCTGTTTGGGAAATGATGAAACAGCAGAGCACATACTTTATGCCTGCCCCATGTGGGGCTGAATCAGGTATCACAGTTTGGCAGAGCTGCACTCTTGCTAAACTAATCGGCTTCGGTAAGAAACTGGGTTTATTTGGTCGAGTGTGAATAGGAGTAAGCCACAATCTGTTTGAAAATGTGTTTAAAATCTGTCGTAAATCTGTTTTTCCGTTAATCAGCTGTCGCCCCATACGAACGACAACTCACAGAAGTTGAGAAACTTGTGCGAGCTAAAGACTAACGAGGTCTTACCTTTTACCTTGTGATTCCTAACACAATAAAGCCTCATATGATTTATGAATAGTCTGCAAGACGATACGTCAAAAGGCAGTGATCAACTTCTATCCGAAGAAGGGATTGTTCTTTCACTTATCCCGAATATTACAAACAATACTAATTATATTGTTACGTAATTTATCAGCTTTGAACTGTACAAAAAAAACAACTATACCAAATGGTTACGTAAACAAGGTGAAGTAAAGGGTTATGCTCACAGCTAGCCTGAACAGGGAGAGAGGGGTGAGTTCCTGAAATACTAGGTGTCACTTTAACGGGCGCCAATAGATTCATATATTTAACCCCGACTCAAAATAAAGAAATTAGAGAAATTGAATCTATAAGATCTACTCTAAAAAGTAACCAATTGATAATGAACTGAATAGAAATATATTATATACTGGCTTATCTATAAATATATAATGAATGAAACAAGATTTAAAATGGTTGGGGGGGTTTCGTGCACTTAGAAAACTCTCATGAGAGGGAGGAAGAGGAGTGGATGAGATCTGTATTGTACCTAGTCTTCGTCCAGTCCCCTAAAGACATTACGCAAAACTTACATAACTAATACTTATGACAGAAAACATTTAAACAATATTCGCTGAGAGTAGTTCCCAGTTGATGAATACTAAATGTAGTTACGGAAAGCAAAATAAATGATCAAAAACAAATTCCGCTATGCGGTACTTAGCCAGATTTCTGGATTGTACGGAGTACTGCACTTCCTGGAACGGGTGTTCACTTCCTTAATTATATCCTTACGAGGCGACCATGAATATAACGGTATTGCGACCAGCGAATATATTCTCTTTCGAGTAATTTTTATTCCCTCGAGATGATTTCAATATATGGGATTAAACGCCTAGAAAATCATATTTATGATTGTAGTGATTTTATTATAGAAATTTGAGCTGTATGAAATATAGGAAACCTATTCAACTTAGTGAAATTATAAGAACTCACCTCCGGTTACCGATTCCCTAATAATCGCGAGACGTTGACTTCCTTTTCCACCAAAAATAGGACGGATATCTAAAATCCTCCGTAGAGTCAAATCGACAGTTGATAATCTAATCCGACGAATTATTAAACCAAATATCACTGTCGAAAGGAACACTGATCAATCAAAACCGCCTAAAGCGTAAAATATGCAATCGACAAATTCACCGTTCAAGACATTCGAGCCATTTTCTGAATAAAAAAAACTCTCCAATCCCTTTTTTGTACCCGATAGCTCCTATCGCTACAAACAAAAGGTTTCCTCGTTTCATCGATGGTGGCAGCAGCACTCGTATGTGATATGAAAGATAATTGAAATGTATTCCTGGTTGACTACCTTTTAGGAGTTTTTCTAAAATTTTACGGATAACGTAACAACATCAACTGTATTCACAGTAAATTTTTGGAATATTATCCATATAACTCCTACATTTAATTATAATTTCACTAATTTCATTGTATCAATCTGTTCAACTTTCCATTTCGAGTATATGTCATTCAAAATATGCAACATTGAAAAAACTTCTATTCAAAATAAAAGTACAACATATATTCCAGTCTTTTATCACCACACGTAAATAACTGCATCACAAAATAAACGAGAGGCAAACTCATATATATTCTTTTGAGTTCATGCTTGGTATCGATTTTTCTAGATTATTAACTTAGCAGTTTTTAAAGAGAGTGTACGAGCGAGCTGGAAAACCCATATTGAACGAAAATTGGACGTTATTGGAAAAATTACATCAGAATAGCATTCGTTACGAGCAATTTGCGGCGTACACTCCATAAGGCAAGGAGAATTGACGTGAAAGCCTCAACGATAGGATACCGACGAGGACGTTTAGCTTTTTGCGAAGGGATTATTTCAATTATACTTTGGCTTCTTCCAGTATTACTGTGAAATGCTGCTTGATTTTTTTGTTTTCAAAATGTATTCGTCACGAAATGAATGCTCTATATATTGTAATTGAAAAGAGCTGTGTAAAAATGTCACCCGGTTGAACATCTACCACAAATTTCTTCCATCACCAAAATAATATTATTCAATCCCTTACGGATGTATATCAGACAGATATTGTTCAAACAGATTTCTGTAGCACGATAAATTCAACCACGAACTCTAGAATAAAAAGTTCAATAAGGTAGATCAAACTTATTCTGTGACAAAAAAAATCGTAATTTATGAATGGATCGTGTGTTTTTTTCTTATAAAATTATCCAGATTGGTACTGAAGAGCCCTAAGGCAAGTGTCTTATGGCAAAACATCGATGTCTACCAGTAAGGATGACAGTGTTCCATGTAAGCGAAATTTTACAATTCATTTAGTATATCATGTTGAAATCCTGTGAACTATATCTGATATAATTCCATAACGAATGTTTGGAATACAAACTGAGTGGAAAAAAGTGTTTTTTGTATTATTCAGCGTTCATATGAAAGTATTTGTTTTGAAAGAAATTTTCTTTCGTGTAATTCAATGTTTATATGGAAGTAGCTGTTTCAGGGGGGGGCTTTTTCTTCAATTTAGTGTCTGAAAGTTACTTCTTTGCATAATCTACACATATATGTATAGAGTTACTATTTGAAAAAATTGATTGCTTCATTCTTTTCTTTGGAAGATTCCCACATTTTTTGTATCAAGATGGATTTTTTGGCTTTCTACTTCTTCCTTTCTACTTGGAAGATTCCCACATTTTTTGTATCAAGATGGATTTTTTGGCTTTCTACTTCTTCATCTTCATACAAAAAAAATGTGGGAAACTGGTAAAGGAAGGAAAAAAATAATTAATTCCAAAACAAAGATACAAAGATATGTAGATCAAGCATAGAAGTTACTTTCAGCCAGCAAGTTATTTGACGAACAGATTCTAAATTGTAAAAATCGAAAACTTTCTTCTGAAACAAATTTTGTTAACATCCGGAGGGCTACTACCTGGGCCTTCTGTTATTCAACATTCTCATGAACGATATTGCGGATAAGTTCTCATATTCTACCTATTTATTATTTACGGATGATTTGAAAATTTATTAAATGCCAGTGACTGCCATTGACTTTGAGCGAGAACTTTCCCCTTTATACTCAACTCAGTAAGTAAGTAGAGTCTCACAAATACGTGATCTTGAAATTATTGTCGATGATCAGCTTTCATTTGTTCCATATATGAGATTTATTGTTAATAAAGCTTGCAGTGACTTGGTTTTGTCACACGAAACTCCAAAGATTTGTCTCTACTATCACTGAAATCATATCAATCATTTGTTGGTGTCTCGTTGACTTCATTCAAATACTCTCTCAAAAAATGTATACACAAATATTTTCCTGCCAAGAATACACTTCTTGAAGTTTTGGTAACATAATGCTCCGTTTGTGTATTTATTTACCTGATATACTCATCTTTTGAACAGTCAACATTTATATTTTCATCCAAAGAGTCGCTGTCTGCATTATTAATAATTTTATCGTATCATAAAATAATTTTTGTCATGTCTGTGGCGATATACATACTTTCATGTATTCTCATTAAAAGGGGTTACCCGTGTGTCGATTTAATAAAAAAATGAATGAATGAAAAAAAGATTCAAAAAAAAAGATTAGTTTTTGAAAAGAAACGTATTGTTTTATATTTTTCCTTCATTATATAGAAAGTGAAGAACTTTCGAAGAAAGTAAAGAAAAACATGTGTAGATCATGCACAATAATTTTCTTCAGCTACAAACTGTACCAAAAATTCATCCGAAACAACCACGAATACTTTCAAATATGACCAATTCATTGCAGAAAGAAATCACTTTAAATCCATTCAAAATCCGTTTTTCTGTTAACCAGAATGAGTATGAATATTAATAAAAAATTACTCACAAGAAAAACTTTCAATCTCCAGGTATACACCTGGAACTTCCAGAAAAAAACACTAGTCTTCAATATTTCATCATTTTTGTCTCGATTCGATCACTGGAAAAGACTGATATACTACTGTCTCATTGACGGTTTGTTGAAAGGACTATTCAAATTAAAGTCTTCCTACAGAATGAACACAACATCATCTCAATTTTCACGAACACCGATTAATTTTTTCATAATATTCAATTGTTTCGAAGTGACTATTTTCTGTTTGACACCCACGAATCATGCTTAGCCTATACGAGTAGTCACTGAACCCCATGATCCGTGATTCTTACCTGAAATCGGGGCAAGACTAAAGTTTTTTCAAACTTCTGGTTTTGTTAAACGTGAAAAAATATCAATGGAATAGGACGGTTCGAATATCAACATATTTTAGGTATTCGGTGCTTTTGTATTTGAGTAGTGAAATGTTGATGACTTTTTTTAAAACCAGCTATAGTACTTGAAGAAACATATTGTTTCCATTCGAACGATTATAGGAGCGTTTTAATAAAATGATAATAATTTATCTGACTTATCACTTATTACAGTATATGAATATTTGTTGATAAAAAATAAATACAACATCCTGTATGAAAGTTATATTAAGATAAAAATTGATTGAAAGTTTCTGTGACAATGATCGAAACATATTATCAATATCTGAATAAAAAGAGAACATACACCCAAAATAGAATTTTGAATTTTTCAGTTTTTTTCCCATATCTTCGGAACCAAATAAACTATTTATGATTTTTTGGTATTATTCAAAAGTACCACTAAGCAGACAACCTTGTCACAATTCAACCTACTCTCCATCTCCTACCCTTCAACATATCTCCATGCATACACTCCAATTTGAATAGTCCTGAAGTAATAAGGTTAGGCTATAAAAGATATCTGATTTCCATTTGTGTTTGATTCATGCCGCGTTTTTAGAATTGAATGTGTTTTTCATTTTTCTCTAAAGAAGTAGTTTTGGTAGTTACTTCAAGTAACTAACACAACTAAAAATCATCTCTTGTAATATTATCAACTATTTAACTTCCGAAAAATGAACAAAGCTAAATCAATACTGAAACTGCTAAAGTGAAAAGAGACGAACTTATCAGTTTGTCATGTAGTTCACTTCAACATATTCTCTACCGATTTAGATTTGTTTATTTTTCAGAGTGCAGAAGGTTGTATACCAAAATTAACAGCGGGTGAAATTGATTACCCCATCAAAAATGTATTTCAAAGAATATCAACACAAAAACAGTTGAAGACATTATGAGCCCTAGCCAGGCGTGACTCTGAGAAATTGGTCTTTGTTGTTGCAAAGTTCATCTAGTTTTTTATTGTTAATGTTAAACTGATACTGATTTTCAATGTATGGACGTTAATATGCCAGTAATCAAATAAACGAATTTTGCTTCATTCTTATTACACTCGAATAATACCCTTTTTAGCAGATTTGTATCCCATTAGCCGCAGATGTGTTCGAAATATTTTGATGCAGTTTGCAACCAACAGTGTGAGTGTTGGATGTAAAATGTTAGATGTAGTTATCAAGTAAATAATAACGCTTCTTGAGTTAATTTCATAAATCTTATTTTCTTTATTTTCACCATTGGATGTGTAAATAATATCAAACCACAATAACTATAACCAAATTCACCACAAAACATCATAACATTCATTGATTCATCTCAATGATCTTATAAAGAACTCGAATTCATTATTCAGTATGCCGTCCTTCCCGTTCTATACAAATTATAATTCTTTCATTCAAAGACTTTGTGGCATTTTTGATAAATAGGTGATTTATGTCAGCACAACACTCCCGAATGGCATTTTCTAAATGTTCTTTGTTTGCAAATGGTCTGTTTATTAGAAAGGTGCATAAACATGAGCAGTCAGCAGTAAATAAACATGTGACAAAACCACTATAGGCGGGGCCTGTGCGTGGATGAAATGGGGTTACATAATCAAGATGGATTTTTTGGCTTTCTACTTCTTCCTTTCTACTTGGAAGATTCCCACATTTTTTGTATCAAGATGGATTTTTTGGCTTTCTACTTCTTCATCTTCATACAAAAAAAATGTGGGAAACTGGTAAAGGAAGGAAAAAAATAATTAATTCCAAAACAAAGATACAAAGATATGTAGATCAAGCATAGAAGTTACTTTCAGNACACAAGTTCTGCTATACTTGCTATTCGACGTTTTATGAGAAGAAGAGGTCAGCCAAAGGAGATAATAACAGATAACGGGACCAATTTTGTCAGAGCAGAACGTAAACTCAAGGAATGGTTCCGAAGCTTAGACCTCCCCGAGCTGCACACATGGGTGGAATCTGTGAAAAGAAGATAAGATCTATCAATTCAAGACCCTTGACACACATTAAGGTCGATTACAATTAGCCAGAAGCTATCACTCCGAATAATTTTCTGCTAATGCGACCAGGTGATGTTAGATCATTCGGCAATGTGGAGCTTTCTAGCAGAAAGCAATGAAGAATTGCCCAAGCATTAGCAGATACGTACTGGAAACGATGGCTAATTGAATATAGACCAACACTTCTTCAGAGACAAAAATGGCGTAACAAAACTAATCCTATTAGAATTGGCGACATAGTTTTGATGGTGGACGACAAGGCACCTAGGAATCAGTGGATCATAGGAAAAATAGAAGAAACGTTTCCCGGAAAAGACGGAGTCATCAGAGTTGTTCGAATCAGGAATAAACATGGAACATATATGAGATCTGTTACCAAACTGTGTATTATTCCAGTCAGAAGTTGATATACTCACCTTGCAAAGTCTACTTGTGGATGGAGAATGTTACTTATTCTATTTGTATTTGTTTATATCAATTAAATGTTCATCACTGTGTATAAGTAATTTTAATTCTGTGATTTGATTTTCATATAAAAATAACATATAATTCATTAGAACATTAAAATTAACAGTACAAAAATAACATTTCAAAACGCTGAAATGTGCGAACTTGCTTCCCCCTTTTCATAAAAGAGGATGTGTGCATCTCTACTCACAAGCGATTTTGGTGAAATTGGGGACACGTGTGAATCATTGTATTTGTGCCACGTGCCTGTATAAGGATGTCTGCAGAATCCTGTATAATGTCTGCTGTAGGTAGATCCACTGTGATTCGAAAGTGCATATAGATCATAACGACAAGGAGACACATTTTCTGCTGCACAATTGTTCATATCTAATCCATCTAGAGGAAATTCGATGGCAAAATTTAAATTGCCTCTAAATCTTTCTGTTTGAGAAAATCTTTCAAAATGAATTACTAAAATACGGGGAAACTTATGGATCGATAGAGACTTTGTGCATTTTCTTCTTTCCATGCAATTTGAACACATCGGTTTTTCATGTCCATCCTAAGTTTCCTCTCTTGTGAAGAAATACAAGCACTGTAATAAACTCAATTAGCCAGTTCTTTATGGTATGGGGAGTGACAAATCCCAGAAAGGATCGAAGGTCACAGATGAGTGTCCACAATGTGTGCACTTCATCGTGGATTTTAATTGATCAATAAAATTGGATTACACTGTTCATGAACAGGTGTTGCCAATGATGCAATGATTCTTCTCATCATTGGACCAACGGAATGAGGAATTTGAAGTTGTTCAATAAATATCATAGGTTGTTAGAATTACACAGAAGATGAGAAAATAATAACTATCAATCCAATTCAAGATTAAATTCGAAATTGTTTGAATTCGTCTTTAATTTGCTTAAGTATTTTACAGTGAGAAAAAACTCTTTCTTAATGTTGGGAAGTGTAAAATTATGACTTATGCTCGTATATTGAATCCATACCAGTTCAATTATACAGTTGATAATATCGACTTACCAAGAGTTAATGATACTCTTGACTTAGGAATCTCATTCGACAATAAACTAACATTTAATGCTCACATTGAAAATATTGTTCAGAGTATTGTAGTTCTGTCTGGAATCCTAATCAAACAAAATACATTGATGCTTTAAAAGAAGTTCAGAAGAAATTCGTCAAATTATGAATACACTTGCCTTCTGACTGAATTTAAATTTGTAACATTGAAAAAAAAAAACGAGAAATTGCAGATCTCATTTTCATCTATAAACTGATCAATGGTTTGTATAGATTACTTCTAGATGAATATCAAAATGTTTACTTATACTGTTACCTGCTCTATTATTGTATGCTCCTTTTATTGGGCCTTCGCTTGTTGGATGTAAATAAATAAATAAATAAATAATTAATGCGCACTCAATACATGTGTGTTGTTGTATATAGTCACTTCAAAAGAACTGATCACTATTATATCAATTGTATAATTAAAAATGCCGCTTTATGTTATGAATAACGAGCTTTTAAAAACGGTAATATTTATTAGGTTCGTAGTAGATTTGAATGATATTTAAAAAATTGTTCATAAAAAAAATTGAAATTGCTGTTAGCTGAATGTTTGTGAGTATAAAGATCGTCAGTTCATTTGCCATACTTGAAGCATAATATTTTTACAAATTTCACATTTCGTCCCCTTCAGCTTCGCCGACACTGGAGTAGCAAACGTTTTTCATAGTTCACAATTAGGGGAAAAACTATCATTGGTATGATTTTAGTTCGTATACAATAACTTATTCAAATCTACGCTACCTCCCGGACTATTGTTGTTTTGATCCTGGATGCACTACTGCTGAAATAAATTTCTCATCTAATATACAATGTCACACATAAAGTGCGCTACATATGAAAGTTTTCTCATTAACGGATATAATGAAAATTTGACTTCGTAGTTAGTTTGTGCTTGAAAAAAGAGTGAAAAAACAGCATCTTTCCTTTTGTCATGTGCTACTCTAAACCTGTCAAATTAGACATTTTTTTGAAAATCCTCAAAAATCAGGTTTTTTTGAAATATCGAAAAATGCCAACGAAAAAGTTGCTCAGTTTCCAATTTTTTACCCTTGTTCGAAATTTAGATCTACTCTCACATCGACTTTTGTCCATTTTTTTTAATTTTCCGAATCTTTCGCTCAATCGATTCAAACTGAACATGATCCTACCACAAAAAAAATGAACACACCTCTAGAAATTCGTCTTTGTTTTTGCAAAGTTGATCTAATTTTTCATTTCATTGTTAAACTGATTGGGATTTTCAATGTATGGACGTTAATATGTCAATAATCGAATGAATGTATTTCTATTCATTCTTATCATACTCGTATTCCTTTCTTTATTATTTTGATTATTTTTCAGA